GCACATTGATTTGAAGAGAAGAGAGCCTTATTTGGTTCCTAGTTCCTAAAACAAAATATCAAGATCTGGCTGAAATACTTTGAGAGGACAGAAAATTGAGAAATTGAATTGAAATGACTCAAGACTGAAATGTGAGGTTCTTGGTGCTCTCTGAGCTTAATTGTTTGCTTGCACATATTTCACTCCCTGACTAGTAACATCATCAACGTGTATGTAGGTTTACTGCCTGTTTATATATAATGCATTGCAGCAAACCTCATATTAAGAGCCACGGTGGCACAGTGGTTAGAGTGCAGTACTGCAGGCTATTTCTGCTGCCTGCTGCCTGCTGCCTGCCTGCCTGCAATTTGGCAGTTCATATCTCATCAAGCTCAACATCAAGGTTGACTCAGACTTCCATCCTTCCGTGGTGGGTAAAATAAGAGCCCAGATTATTGGGGGCAATATGCTGACTCTGTAAACTGCTTAGAGAGGGCTGTAAAGCACTGTGAAGTGATATATAAGTCCAAATGCTATTGCTAAGTGCTATATTCAGTTACATTGGTGTTGTTACCTAGTTGGGTAATGAAATGTCTGCAAGCAAAACTCCAAGTTCAAAATGCACCAAGAACTTCACATGACAGAATTTTTGCCTGACATAATGTTCTTAAATGCTTTAAAATAAATTCTGGTCATGTTGAAGGGATTTATTCATTTTATTGAGAAAACATTGTGGAGGGAGTAACTAGAAATAGATTTCGTCTCATCTGACTGAAGCTCCAAAGTAGCTTACCAAGGAGTTCTGGGAAGAAACCCAGCTGGAATTATTTCATACTTGAACATTTATTCTCTTTGCACATCCTCAAGTATTTGAACAGGTGGTACAGACCAAGCCCTTCTTGGAGTTTCTGTTGTGAGCTAAATTGGTTAGAAATCTCCTGGCATATATAATCTTTTCAGAATATTTGGTAATTTATTTCCATTTTCTGTTCAAAGTTGCCTCTTTTCCCCCCACAGAGATTCTTCATCCTCTTTCCATGGTGAGATGTATGATACATGCGAGTCAACTAACTAAATAAATAAATAAGCAAACCCCTTGGAGGATTGTCCCCATTAGCAAAAAGGAAGAACAACACAGGGGCCTCATTCAAGAAAAACCTTCACATTCATCTCCTGTGCTTGCACGTGATTTGACTCTAATATCTATTCGCTGTGCCTGCTAGAATTAATTCACCTGCCTTGTTGCAGTGCCAAAGAGAGAGAAAAAGAACTTGGTATCTGAATTTCCTTGTGCACGGAGCCCTCTTCAGGAAGAAAAGAGAGAAAGAAGAACCACAACTGGAGATAAAAGAGGCTAGATTATCTGCAAAAAAGGAAAAGCAAGACATGGAATAGTCACTGCTCATCCATACTCAAGAAAAAAGGAATTGCTGATTTCCTAGCTGTAATTCATTATTATAATCACCATGCACATAAGTAATCCACCTTCTAAATTTAGCTACCATCTATACATTATGCAAATAGCATCCACAATTCCTCTTTTGAATTGTTCTGTCTTGCCCAGCTTAAAGAACAGCAAGGAAATGCAGAGGTCACCACAGCCTGAATTTTGCACTAAATGTTTGTTTAAATACTAATTTATAGTACGGTATAGCATAGTAGTTACAGGACAAGTTACTTACTGCAATTAAAAAGGCAAAGTAATGCAATTAAATCATAAGAATAATAATGCATAAATAATTCAAATAAAAAGTAAATATAACAATAGACACTAGAATAGATTATATATTAGCTAAAACAGAGGGTGCTAGAACAGAAGGTGATTGTACATAGATTGGCATCAATAAATTTTTATTTCTACTCTGGTATTCACACATTTTCAGGCTGTATTTCATAATTATAATAGCTCAGTGCTACTACTAATGATATTATTCCAAAAAAGTACACTTTATGCACTTCTTCCTGCTTAGCTGTGGAATTGCTACAAGCATCAAACCTTGAGTATATTCAATGTTATCTATAATTTGTTTGGAGTTGCTTGTTAATATCACAGCCATTCTATTATACATATTTCAAATAATCTGAGGAAATCACTTCATGTATGTCCAATTATAACATAAAAAATTAAGCCAAAGGATCACACTAGGCATGCTAAGATTCCTCAGATCCGTGATCTTAAAAAACAAATTGTGAAAGATTTGTAAACTAGGTAGGTATAAAATATTATTTTTTAAAAAAAATGTTTATGCTTCTCAATTTTTATTAGTTTATAATATATAATATAAAAGAAAATAGTAGGAAAATAGAGGAGGAAAAAATGGAAGGGAAAACTGTAGGGCAAGAGGGAAAAAGAAAGAGAAGGCGTTGACTTCCAAATCCCTTTGGTGCAGTAAAATAAGATAGCATCAAACTTCAACTTTTACATAATAATATTATAAACAAGTCATTTCTATAATAACAAACCTATTAATTGGTAAAACCCAAAATCAAAGTTTCATTTTTCCCACCTCAAGCATAAAGTCCAGAAGAGGTTTCCAAGTAGAAACAAAAGTGATTGTATTTTTTTCTTTTAATCAAGAAAGCCAATTTGGCCATCTCTACTAACTCCATCAAATTTTGGAACCATTCATCCGTTGTACGAATCAAAGTGTCCTTCCATTTTTGTACATAAAGTAATCTTGCTTCCTTCAACCTATATAACATCAATGTTCCATTTTTTTTTCTTTTTCCATTTTCTTCCATTAAACCAAGAATAAAAGTTTCTGGTTTTATCCTTATATTCACTTTAAGAATCTTCTGTATTAAGATTTCAATCCCACTCCAATATTCCTTTGCTTTATCACATGCCACCATAAATGATAAAAGGCCCCTTCTTTACTTTTACATTTCCATTCATTTGAAATACCTTTATACATTCTTGACAACTTATCTGGTGTTAAATACCAACGATACATCATCTTATAGATTTGTTCTTTTACATTTAATTTACTGTAAATTTTAGATCTTTCATCCACACATTCAGAACAAGAAGCAATGGGTGGGAAGCAACTTAGAACTGAGGAGAAATTTCCTGGCAGTGAGAACAATTAATCAGTGGAACAGCTTGCCTCCAGAAGTTGTGAATCCCCCAACACTGGAAGTCTTTAAGAAGATGTTGGATAGCCATTTGTCTGAAATGGTATAGGGTTTCCTGCCTAGGCAGGGGGTTGGACTAGAAGATCTCCAAGGTCCCTTCCAACTCTGCTATTGTATTGTATTGTATTGTATTCTCCCATTGTTCCAGTATTACACTACATCCAAAATTTCTGAATCATACAATGCTTTACATATTCATTCTCCAAAATATTCAAATTCAGATAAATATTCCACTCACAAGCCAGTAGTTGGCATTCATTTTTTTGTCCCCTCCTTTCAGCTATGCATGAACTAACCCATGATAGGTTCATGTCTTTTACCTTAATCACACACACCCCCAAATCAGCTCTACTACATTCAGGAAGGGCATCACCATTCTTCAACGTGCTATGTCTATGGAAATTCTCAGTCATCCAGCTCATGGTTGTCTCAAAAGTGCTTTTTGTAGTTCCTTGAAGACATTTTGCTTCTCACCCCAGAAGTTTCTACAGTTCTGAAGAAAGTTCTTGGATGAGAAGCAAAACGTCTTCAAGGAAAAAGAAAGTCCAGTTGTCTTTTGAAAAAGCACCTATAGGTTCCTCAGAGCAGCCTCCTTTTTGCAAAAGACCTCTCAACCTAATCTGAGAATGATGGCATCAGGCCTGCAGCTAGTTCCTTTTAGGATCTTTGGCCTGCCACACTCTCTATTATTTTACTATGCTTTTTCATTAGTTGGGAATTGGGAGGGGGAATAGTAAGGAGTAGAATGTGTTGTTGTCAAAATAAAAAATTCCTTCCTAGAAGCCCAAGGTCATTTTTGTCTCTGCACCTCTGCACCTGACCGGAAGTGGATGGGTGGAGATGCCAGAGTGGCAATGGAAGATTGGACCATGTGATGGACTTGTGGGTGTGGGGGCAAGATCATGAACTTTCAATTGGGTGGAAACCCCAGGAAGTTCTCAGATTCGGGTTTCCATAGATGTACCAATATGTCTCTCTTAATAAATTGGAACTTAGAGCAAGACTTTGCCTTGGACTCTGATTTAATTTTGGATGATATTTGGAACGCTGACAGATGGATGTTTCCTGTCAGAGAGGTTATTATTCTATTCCTAAAATGATAGAATTTTAGGAACTTTTCTAAATAAAGGAATCAAATTTAAAGGATATTAATTCAACCCCCCTGTATGAATTATTTTGATAGTGATCGTATTTCATTCATCCATTACATGTATAGCTTTCCTGCAAATCTCATTTTATTCCGTAACAATTAAAACAAACAAGCACATGTTTCTCCCATATACTAGAATTATTACATACTATACAATTTCTATAGAAGATTGTATAGAGTTCCCTTCTCTCAGAATCTACTTAAAGTCATGGATTAAAGTCAGATCGTATGAACTAATTCACTTTGCAGTGCTGGATAAGACTCAAAATTGACTTGGATAATTTTTGTGCTGCTTAAATTCCTTATTCTGAATAAGAGTACCTCTTCAATATCCTTGAGAGCCATCAGCTTCCAAACCTGTCAATGTTAATATTAGAAGCTATCTTATATTTGTTTGAGCCATCCAAGCTGGACTTTCTTACTTTGAATGAATTTGCTTTCTTTGAAAAGGGTTGCCATTTGGTGAATTTAAGACTTTTCACATCTAACAAATCTTTGGCATTTTTCCAAATTGTATAATGGGATTCATAAGAAAAAAGAAAAGCAACAGAGACATATAACATACCTCCTGCTTCTGTTTTATGTTGATAAAATAAAAACAAAACCACAAGTGTAAAAGACCTCAAGATGTTTTTCATTTTTTTCATTTAAAAAGAAAAAGTGTTATTTCTTCATCTGTTTGAATCTGTGTGGAAAACAACACACCCGACTTCTGGCTAAGTATGCATATGGGAGTGTATTTTAATAACAAGCAATTCTTTACATCTCCTTAAACAAAAATATTGTACTACTCATTAGTATGCAGGCATCATTCTTACAACAATCCAGTTCTTCATAACCACGTTAAACAAATTTTATTATTTTACAGAACTCATTGTATAGATGAAAAATTCAGAGGAAAAGGGGGGAAAAAACCCTAGCTTTTGATCCTCTAGACTAATGAATGTTTCAGAGGAGGAGAGAAGTAAACAAATATCAGTCTGTAAACACACTTTTCAACTGTTCCAACACTGATGGAGCAGCCAACTCAAAGAACATAGGAACTAACAACTCATTGCATTGATTATTGTTTAGATTCTGACTTTGGCTGGAAGATCCTGTCCTAAAAAAACCTAACATTCAGTATTATCATCAACTTGGCAATAATTTCCAGGTCCAAACTAGCCATTTGCTAAGCTCAGCCACACAGTAATATGTGTTTATTTTGGCCAGGTTTCACAGCATCCCTTGAGTCTTTTAGTTCATTTTGTCCTTCATCCTATTATTCCAAGTAAATTTACCTCAGATAGCATCATTATTCAAGAAACCTCAAGACTGTGAGTCAGAGGAGGCAGGTCAATGTAGACAAATCTAGTCTTACAGGTATAGAAATACTGGTGAAACCATTCCCTGGTTTCCATCAGCCATACCAAGGCACACACACACAACCATATCCTGCTCCATTTACTAAGAAATCTGTGCTTGTTTTCTGTACAGAAATAATTCCTGCACCAGTGTCTGATTCTGCATATTCTGACTCTGGAAAATGGAAGCAGGCCACTGATCATCCTTTCATTCACTTGTCTGTCTCAGAGATGGTTGAGGAATTTTGCCATTTCAGACTTCAAATAAATATTTTCTTGGTGTTAATCATCCACCGAACAAGGTGGCACAAGCCAGAAGTTTCATTTTTTGCTGGTAACTTTTTTCTTACGAGCAGCAACCAGGTCATAGAAGGGATCTCTCGTGATGCTGGTCCTAAAATAAAGAAAAATAGAAAAAATATTAAGATTTGGCTGTTAGCAAAGCACTGATTGCCTCTTTCACAGAACACAAAGGATTCTTTAAGCTGGGAAAAGCAATAAGCCATGTGATAGTTATGTACTTCCATGTTTCCACATACTTCCAACATCTTCCATGTTTAGAGGTAATGTATCATTGAAATTATACAGGCAGGAAGGCTTGACAATGGCCTTCATATTCTTTCTAAGGAAGTTTGGTGGTTACCCTAAAAATTGGATACTGGGTTTAGAGAGCTCTTCTAATGCTTAAAATGCTCATGGAAATGAAAGTAGGAAATGAGGGAGAGAGTCCTGCTGAAAAGAATATAAAGCATTATTGTTGATATTTTTTATCAGTGTTTGAAAGTGCTCAAAAGTAAATGCAGTCAGGTGGTTAAGGCATGCATGTTTCTTACTTGATGATTGTATGAGACCGTGATGGCAAACCTATGGCACGTGTGTCATAGGTGGCACGCGGAGCCATTTGTTAGGGCATGCAAGGCGTTGCCCTGTCAGCTCCAGCTGACTTCGTTTTTCTTTTGAGGCCATTTTTAAGCCTCCGGAGTGTGAAAAACCAGCCCTATGGGCCCTCTGGAACGAGCTCCCCGTGGAGATTCGGACCCTCACCACCCTCCAGGCTTTCCGCAAAGCCCTTAAAACCTGGCTGTTCTGACAGGCCTGGGGCTGATGAGTTCCTGCCCCCGCTCGAATGGTGTGGCTGTTAATTGTTTTTAAATTGTGGTATTGTTTGTCCATGTCTTTTTTTCCCCTATTTGTATCCCCTATCCCCCCCCCCCTGACTTGGGTTGTGAGCCGCCCTGAGTCCCTTCTGGGAAAAGGGTGGCATAGAAATATAATAAATTCAATTCAATTCAATTCGGGAATGGACTTCTGGTTTGCTCGTAGGGCCATTTTTCGTCCTCCTGAGACTTTAGGAGGCTTCCCTGAAGGCTCCAGAGGGTAAAAAAGGTCCTACAAGCAAACTGGAAGTGACTTCAGGAAGCCTACTGAAAGCTCTGGAGGTCGGAAAATGGCCCTATGGACAAACCGGAAGTCACCATTCCTGAACTGATGAGTTCCTCATACGTCTGTTTTTTTGCCCTCCGTAGACTTCAGGGAAGCTCCTGAAGCCTCCGGAGGGCCTCCGGTGGGGGTGGGGGTGGAGGAGTCTGTTTTATCCTCCCCAGGATCCTAGAAAGCCTCTGGAGCCTGGGGAGGGCAGAAAAACTGTGCCAAAAGTGGGGGAAGTGCTGATCGCGCATGCATGCACACTGGGGTCACATGCATAGCATTATGGATGTGCAGTGATGTGCAGTGAGGTTTATGGCTGCTGAGGCAGTCCTCTCCCCCGACATCCCACTACCTAAAGCACTTTCTTTCTTTCGCCTGCCTGTCAGAGCTCAGGCGGGCAAAAGAAAGAAAGCACTTTAGACAGTGGGATGTCGGGGGAGAGGAGAGAATGCCTCTGCTAGTGGGCTGCCATGGACACAGAGGCAGGAGAAAGAAAGTGATTTTCACCCGCCTGAGCTGGCGGGCTGCCCTCCCTGCCTCTCCTACCCCCTTCCCTCTGTTCACTCAAACAAACTCTCTCTCAAATTGAGAGAGGGTTTGTTTGAGTGAAGAAACAAACACACACACTTACACAAACACAAAGTTGCACCAGGAGGATTAATTTTGAATTCCTCCCCCTCCCTCCGACCCACACGTACCTTTTCCAGCTGTTTCACAGAGGATTTCAACTCTGTTCTTGCTTACCATCATGAAAATGTAAAAATGTAAAAAGAAAAAGGCAAGAGCTGAGGTCAGGCTGGGCTAGTTGCTGCCAGAGTCACCATGGATGACGCTGCTTAACTATTTAAAAAAGCCTCTTAAAAACGCTCTCTACAGGAGGAGGCAAGAAAACCGCGTGCCTCATCTACATCAGGAATTTTTCGGCTTTTAACCCTTGCTTAACTCGGCTCGAGTGATCATAAAGTCAGACTAGATGAGACACGTGGTTCTCCTGCCTCCTCCTGTAGAGGGCGTTTTTTTAGAGGCTTTTTTAAATAGTTAAGCACTAAGCAGAGTCATCCACTGCGACTCTGGCAGCAACTAGCTCAGACTTTTTCCTTGTACATTTTTTTTCTTTTCATGTTGACAGTGGTGAGGCTCTGCCTACCCTGACTGCACGTGCCTGTGGGTGTGGCACGCCTATGCACGACCCCCCTGCACTCTCCCTGCTTTTGGCATGGGAGCCAAAAAAGGTTAGTCAATGGCATAGAAGTCAAAAACACCAGAGAGAGAATAATGCAATAATTTCGAATGCAATATCTCACAGAAGAGCAGTTTCATGAAATGATGATAGGTGCCTCTGTTAAGCCCACACTATAATATTGTGATATTCCTTATTACTGAACATTTCTCTCCCTCTGGGGCCTTCTTTCCCATGTCATTGTTATCCCGCCATAGAATGACAGCCTTTCCTCCTTACCGTATGGCTTCAATCCATAGGTCACGGTCCTCCTGGGAGGCTGCAGAGATCTTATAGGATTGGTGCTTGCCTTCAACCACCCTTCCATCCCCATCCGTCTTGCAAGCTTTGATCTTCTGCCCTTTGCAGTTTGCATTGAAGAGCTCAAAGCAATTCTGAGAGAGAGAAAGACGGAAAGCAGTGAGAATCAAGAATACTAACTGTCTCCGATATCTGATATGGATGTGAACATCTCTTTTGTGCTGCAGGTGAGAAACACCTTGCACCTCTGGGTGGAAAACAGTGAAAATCAACAATACTACTCTCGCCAATATTTGATATAGATGTGCACATCTCTTTTGTGCTTTGGTGAGAAACATCCTAGACCTCTCTATGATCCAGGACAAAGATCCTAAAGGGCTTTCATTTACCTTGACCTGGATAGCTGGGGATGATAGGGCTGCTTATCCAATACACCTGGAAGAGGATGCTATTTTGCAGCCTTGTTTCATTTACATTTGGATTTATGTATTCCAACTGGTTTCACCTAGTCCTCCACTTATGGACTAATATGCAGAATGGAATGCAGTTAGTTATTGCAATTATTTTCTTACAAAATGAGAATTTTGCATTTCTCCAAATGATGCAGCACAATTCCTAGACCATCCCCATCCATAAAGTACCAACATTTATTTTATGATGTACATTATAAGAGGATATTGGGAGCTAATTAGATTCAGTTCCAATAAAATGCTAAATCATGGAAGATATTACATGAAGGAGTCCTCTGCTCAAGCACTTTCTCCTTTCTGTTTTCCTCCCATGCTTTCCTTTTCTTCCATTAGTCATTTGATGGATTTCGGCAGACCCCAGTTTTAATTGCATTTTACCATTCTTGTATTAGCCACCTGAGACCATACAAGGAAAAGCAGAAAATAAGCATCTTAAATAGATCAATTGATTACTGCTGGACCGGCAAACTATGGTACAAGCGTATTTTGCAGACCAGGAATAGACATTAGATTTTTGTTCCTGTTTTCTAACCTTGGTTTTTTTATTTGCTGAAAATAAGGAAGTAGCCAAACCAGAGAGTGAAGGGATAGAAAGATAAGGCATCAACATATAAATAAGCTCGTATTCATTGGATACTTATGTGAATAGATCTGAAAATAATTAAAACAGCCTAGATCCTATGTTGAGTCCATTTTTAGATTCTATTCTTAATAGAATCTATAGAATAGAATAGAATAGAATAGAATAGAATAGAATAGAATAGAATAGGTTACAGAGAAACTGATTTTATGGAAAAGGCCATAGTTGAGGTTTCACTTGAACCCCAGATTTTCAGAATGCTTGTGATCTGGGAATATGTCCATGCTATACCACGCAATCGTATGCTGATTTTTTAAAAGCAACTCCAAATGACTAAGCATGTGCAGGATTGGCATAGTGTCAGCTGTTCAATGAAAGGAAAACACTGGCCAGGAATCTGTTTTTGATCATACTTAGGCTGGTCCTTGGCAAGAATCAGCCATTTAGTCCCCTTAGAATTATCCATCCCAATTATATGCAAGAGGTTAAAAGATCTGATATCAGTTTTGTAAGGCAGTTTAGCTGCTTCAACTTGCTCTACTCCTTTAATAATTTTCCAGCATGGCATATGGCATTCTATATAATTGATGAAATTTCCTTTCCCTTCCATTCTGATGGGTACACTAGGAGACAAGGTAGGAAACTGGTTTCTGGTCTGATACCAGTTTTTCTCCCGTGGAGTTTTCTGATGAGGTCACCCTGACCTCTGTGAAGTCTGTATCTTGGGTCCTTGATGAGTCCAAACATCGAAACAAAGGGCTTCTTCTCATCTTTTGAAAGACAATTTTAATGTAGATTTCACAAAACATTATCTCAGAAGCTCCACATTGAAAATATGGAATAGATATAAACACAGACTGTGCCTGAAAATGCAGTACAGGAAGCATTTCATAAGAAAGAAACAGCAGGTAGAGAGAAATTGTTAACCTATTGAGAGCTCTTCGAACAAAAGCTTGGAGAATATAAAATGAATCCAAGATAACTAGTTGTGGAGGGTTTTAGTTTTAAAAGAGCTGTTTTTATCATGCTTGGTAGACTTATAAAAAAGCCATAAAATTGGACTTCCAGATGGCGAAATGGTGGACTAAAGGTGGCTCCACAAAAAGAAGAAACACAGAAGCATAGAGTCATCATAAGGCTGGAAGGGACCTTGGAGGTCTTCTAGTCCAAACCCCTGCCCAAGGCAGGAGAACTTCAACATATCATACAAATGGATAGCCAATCTTTTCTTGAAAGCCTCCAGCAATGTAGCATCCACAATTCCAGGAAGCAAGCTGTTCCATTGAGTAATTGGTCTCACTGTCAGGAAACTTCTCTTTAGTTCCAGATTTGGCTCTCTCTTTAACAAGCTTCCACACATTGTTTCTTGCCCTGCCCTCAGGTACTTTGGAGAATAAGACTAATCACTTCTTCTTTATGAATGCTCTTAAAGTACTGAAAGATCTCTATCATGTCATCTCTAATCCTTCTCTTCATTAGGCTAGATATACCTACTTCCTTTAACTGATCAGTTAACTGTACAGTTTAGCCTCCAAACGCCTTATCATTTTGTTGCTCTACAATGATCAATTAAAGGAAGTAGGTATATCTATCTTTTTTCTATCATGGCAATCAGAACTGGATGCAATATTCCTAGCGTGGCCTCAATAGTGCAGTACAGAGCAGTACTATCATTTCTCATGATCTTGAAGCTGTCCCTCTGTTGATGCAATCTAGGACTGCATTGGCTTTTTTGGCAGCTGCATATTCGAAAGGATTAAGAGTCCAGTTAAATCTAAAATATGATTTTGGAATGTATTACAATGGATTTTTCATGTGGAAAATAGATCTGTTTGAACTTAACAACATAAAAGTAAACAGTTTTAAAAATTGGAGTTCTTTAATAAAATGTATATATTAAAAAGGGGAAAGAATTTGAGATCTTTCATGTCATATGGCTTTGTTTTCAATCCTTAAATAGACATTTCTTTGATGGGGTTTGGAACAAAGAAATTACAGAAGAAAAGGCCTTATGGGAGAAAGACATCTTTAAGAAATTCATGGCCATTTCAGTTTCAAGTCTTATTAACCTCCATTCTGAAATTATAACCAGGGGTGGGATTCAGCCAGTTCGGACTGGTTCAGGTGAACCGGATGTTAATTTTAATCTGGTTTGATGAACCAGAAGTTGCAATGACTGGCTGACCCTGTCCATCCTGCCCTTCCCCTCCTAGGAGTCTCCACGTGGCCCATTTGGGATGCCAGGTAAGTGCAGGGCCCACGTAGAGCCTAGGGAGGGTGAAAAACAGGTCTACTAGAACAGTGGTCTCCAACCTTGGCAACTTTAAGACTTGTGGACTTCAACTCCCGGAGTTCCTCAGCCAGCAAAGCTGGTGGAGGAACTCTGGGAGTTGAAGTCCACAGGTCTTAAAGTTGCCAAGGTTGGAGACCACTGTACTAGAAGTACCAGAAGTCTGGAAATGGGTCCGTTTCCAGTCTCCAGAGGCTCGAGGAAAGCCTCCAGAGCCTGGGGAGGGTGAAAACACCCCCCCCACACACACACACCATGGTGCAGGAAGCTGACTAGACCACACGCCCATGGCCACGCCCACCCAGCAACTGGGCAGAGAACCAGTTGCTAAAAACTTTTAATCTCATCCCTGTTTATAACTCCTGGAATTTCCAGTATGACAACTATGCTGAATTTTGAAGATGAATCCTGCCCATTGTTATAATCCAATCCCAAAGAGATGTCCTGAGAGGCAATCTTGCCCCCCAGATTGAGGAGGCTTGAACAGAGAAATAGCAGTAAGCCTGAATTGAAATGCTGTGCAGTGCAACATGTCATTTCTGATCTGCAATACATTGGAATCCTAAATCAACAATGTACAACACAGGAAGAAAAGGAATTTAGGGACTGGACTCCATAGACTTCATGATCATGACTAACATTTAAAGAAGATGTTGATCTGGGAGGGAGGGGGAGTGCAGAATAACCAAAAAAAGGAAGCAAGTAAATTCTTTCCAATTTAGTGAGAATTAAATGGTTCACATAACAGACTAAATTGTAAACATGGAATAATAAAACATAATTGTTGAATTTCCATATCATGCTATGCCCAAACAAATAAAACATGTATTTAACATTATGGTCTTGTTCTCACATGCTATTTATATACTTGTTATATATTGATTGTATTTTTATTTTCTGTGATAAAAATATAATAAATTAACAGCAGTGAAAACACAAAATTACAATAAAAATATAATAGGTGCTATGGCTGCATCTAATAACACTGTGCTCCTGCAATACGCTGGAGCAAAAATTAATTTATTTTAGCCCAATTTAGCATGTTTTACAAACCCAACAGCAATGACTTACTGGTTTCTTGAGATCATCTATTGGTTGAACTGATAGGTTTTCCAATGGGATAATCCCTAGAGGCTCTTTGTCCTAGTAAACAGCAGAAATCATAAGTGAATTGTCCCAGTGTGCACATAATATCAGTAAAATTAATGTAAATCTTAAATCTCCATTTCAACATGTCTGGTAGAAGACTTAATTCCTTTTTTTTTTCATGGGATTCCAGTTCAACAACAAAAAGTTTCATCTTACAAAAAGCCCTACAGCTGGAATGGGAAGCAAAATAAATGATTTCTTAAGAGTTTGAAATTAAGATTAAGACTAACCTTTATTGTCATTTTTTTTTACTGTGAGCACACTAGCACACATTAAGAATGAAATTATATTGCCTGCATAACACACATATAATGTGTATGTGTGTATGTATGTATGTATGTATCTATGTATGTATGTATGTATGTATGTATGTATGTATGTATGTATGTATGTTTTCGTAAATTTTCATGGGTGTA